AGAATAAACTATTTGTGACTCTTCTCTAAGTACTTCCTCTTATGCATGTCTTTACGCTTCTGAATCAGCTGAAAATCAGTCTCCAGCCACCTAGCCCTCTCCACCAGCACTAAATAGTCTTCGATCCCAAGTGGTAATAGTGGCTGCCTGATTGAATCCTTCAAGATGAGTAATTATATTTCTAAATTTAAATAATTATTTATATTTAGTTTAAAAGTATAATTTTCATGCGTTATCTTTAAATAACTCATTATGTTGTTTTAACATTCTTCAGGTTTTAAGTTTTTGATTATGTGAACAAAAGATGATCAAATGTGTTTAGAAGATGAGAATAACAACTCAAAATGTACAAATTTTTATATGTTAATTTTAATTGCTTTCTTTAGTAGCTCTTTCATGTATTATTTGAATATTAAACTGTTAGTAATATAAATAGAATAACAGAGAACTAATTCTCACCCCTCGACCGTTCGTTTCAATCTTGATTAAATCCAAGCCCCGAGCCTGGTCGCGACAGTTTTTGTTTAAAAATAAAATTTTATTATACAAGGGTTGGATGCATGATATAAATACATGATAAAAATATTTTAGTAGCCTCATTGATACCGAAGTTAGCCCAAACCATAATAGAAAATAGATTTTATTAAGCCAAAAGTAACGGGGTTACAATCTTGACTCAAAATAGAAAAGAAAATACAACACAACTCGAATCTCTTGCTAGGGCGAGGTGGGGTGGTCGGCGGACAGTGGTGAGGGGGCTGGAATAGGGGTGATGACAGGCTGACCGCTGTCTTGTTGGTTTATGGTTGTAGTAGGAGAGAGGGATTAGGTGGTAGGCAGCAGGGCAAGGGTTTGGACAACAACGTTTAGTAGGCTGGTTGCGGGATATGGGAGGATAGAGGAAGATACACATTACCTTAGATGAGATCTAGCTGGAGCACCTTCTCGCCCTTGGGTACAACCCTAGAAAGGGGAAAAGAGCGCTGACGGCTGTTAAAATAGAAATCTCACAAATATTCGACAAAAACTAACCCTAAAACAAAGAAACAACATAGTAATGAAAGATGGATAGGTGGGAAACGAAAATAGGAAGGGGAAATAATTACTGCATAATGAAAATAGGGAGAGGGGGCCTGTCCAGACTCCTGTTGGACCGAACTCTCTCTAGCTGAACCGGTTGCGGCCTGTCCGGTTCATCCCCCAAGCCCCACATCACTCACATTTGTCATTGCTTTCCCAGTTGGACAATTAACGTTCTCTGTGTATCATTTACTCTACTCCTGTATGCAAGGAATCATACCTTTGGAAAATTATTGGGTTATGAATGTCGTATACTTGACCACTGTACATAACAGATCATGTCTTGAATAGTTATTGGCTTATCCTTCTCTCAACTTTGCCCTTATATGCGGAGGTTGGAATCTTGAACAAGTATTTGGTAACGGAACCAGTTAACTCCATTCTATAACCAATGCGGCTTGAAGAGTTTTCATGTTAAATGAATTTTATTATAGAATGTCTTAAAAGGCCTTATGCAAATTCAGTGTCAAACACTTAGTGAGATTTGTGGTCAATTATTTGATGCCCATTTTTGAGTGAAATGAATTTGTTCGATTAGATTGTGGATAAGGGATTTCTTGTCTCTCTTTTGCCACAAAGATAATTGTTGGAGCAAGACATGTTATGTTAACTCCACTCTTACCATGTAGAGAGTTTGGTTGAAGTGAACCTCATGTTTTCTCTTTGTTTGCACTCTTTTCTATCATTTTAAAGTATTTTGGAGGATCTTTATTTTTTTCTGAGAATGACTCTTTCATCTCATAATGAGTATGAAATGATTTGGGAATGCTCAAATAATCTCGGATTTTTCAAAAAATTTTGATATTTATATATCCTTTGAAGCCATCTTGAATTCTTTTTTTTCCCCCTTATTCTTCTTTTTTTAACTTTTTTATTTAAAATATCTCAAACTATAATGAACATTTCCATCATGTTGAGTCAAACACTTGTGATAATACTGCGGTGAGGAGTAGGGGTGTAAACGAGTCGAACGCGAGCGAGGAGTCCAGGCTTAGCTGGTTTTCGGCTCGTTTATATTTCAAGCTCAAAAAAAGTGTTCGTGTTCGGCTCGTTTGCTTAGCGAGCCGAACACGAGCTGTTCACGAACAAAGAGCCGTTTTGACAACCCTAATCACATAGTAATAAGATGTTAAAGGTTGGGACAAGATTTAAAAGTTATTGTTTATATTAAAACATCATTTGAATTTAATTTAATAATTTTTATTCTATTTTCTGAATTAATAAATTTAATTGATTATAAATCTTTGTAGCGTTAGAGTCAATTAATTTTTTTAAAAATACTTATATTTAAAATTGATGAGTAGTATTACGAGCCAAAACGAGCCGAACACGAACGAACAAATCTTTTTTTGTGTTCGGCTCGTTAACTTATTGAACGGGCCGAACAGAAGCTTTTCGTGAACAACGAGCCGTTTTGACAGCCCTAGTGAGGAGTTTGAGCTGGAGTGCATATTTACACTCTTCTTGAAGTGGTTCACGTGCATTCCTTTGAAAGGCACACACAACACTATAAAGTTGCTGTTTTAAAAATTGAAATGTTATTTTTGGTACCAACATGTTTATTGAATTAAACTTTTTATTTCCAATTTCGTTGGTTGGCAGGAGTTTCAATAACGGTGTATATTTAGCCCTCATGAAATGCATCCATCATTTCTAAGTCTGTGTAGGTTTGATTTATTTAGGCTTGCTACATGGCTTTTCATTCATGTGCATTTGATTGCTTTTCAATCATATGTACACTTTTTGGTATACAATTATAAATTTATGATGCAACTTGCGTTTATTTGCATGCATGCATCAGTAAATAAAGTTTTGGCGAGTGGTTGAGACAATGCTTTCTTTTTTAGATTTTGTTCACGTTGATCCCCGAGTGATTCGGCAATGAAGAATCCAGGCCTATAATAGAAATATCTTGGATGTGATTTTTATGACCCATTTTTATGATCCGTAAGAGGCTCATTGCTTGATTTGGCAATCCACAAGTAACCAGATGATTTGTTTAGTGAGATGAGTTATGGATGTGGATTGCTTTTGTCTATTTTTCATGAAATTCTATTTGCTTGTCTCTATTATTGTTGCATTTTATTGGGCCGGCTTAGGGATGGCATATGGAGGGCAAAACATGTTCTCAAACAAACATGTTGCAACCCTAGACTAGATCATGGCTGTTTTCCTTTTATTAAATTTGTAGAGCTCCTAGAAGATGCTCAGATGTTATGTTGAATGTTTATCCCCCCCCCCCTCCCCTTCAAATTTTTAAGTACTGTTTTCGGATTTAGATTTATATAATGAATCAAACTTCATAATGTAATGATATATCATTATACATTACTTTTTACTTGACATTTTTGTCTTTAGCTTGAAAAAATCATCAATGTTTGACAATTGCCTCTGGGGAGAGGCGAGACAGATCCTAGATAGAGGTGATTTGCTTGGCATCAAATTTATAATTATTGTGCATAACTATGACATATTGTTGAGTAAGTATAGATATTTTCATAAACCTGGAATTTTGTGCATGATGGACTTGATTACAAATTTGGTTTTGCGGTGTCTTTTAAAAATTGGATGTAGTTTTCCTTCCATATTCTGTTCTGTGCTTTGATGACTTAACGGTGGATTGACATGATTTGTCTTTGTTGAACAATAGGGAGAGATTTACATGCCTTCAGTCTTATGCTTTCTAGTTTGGTGAACTTGGTGAGGGACACATGCCAATGATCTGATTCTCAGGACTTGTATTAGGTTAATGATGAGGAGTCATTGATTAAAAGCTTCATGCTTTGGTACATTTATTGATGACAAAATTTCTTTTAGTTTGATCTTAGACTCTTAATGAACTTTGGGATTGCTTCTTTGTCACGTGCTTTACACTTTGTTGTACTTCGTTGGTCTTTTTTCTTAATGCGTGCAGACTTTTTAAAGTGGGGCGATTGATTTAACTTGTCATGTCTTGTCAATGGTACCTTACTTAATAAGGTAATTATTTTGAGTAAGGACTGTTTTTATGATTCAACTATGATTTGGGATTAGTTGATAAAATCTTGTTGATATGAGCCACTTGTGCTCCCAAATTTGAGATGCTCAGAAATTCTTATCGTTTTACTTCTGAAGTGGGCTCCCTCCTAGTGCGGTCCTTATGGTTAGTCAGGAGAGTTGTTCGTGATTCAAGATATTTACCTTATTGAGTTTGACTTTTATATTCTTTTCAGTCGTAAGATTTTTGAGTTGTGAGGAACTTGTGATTTTCTAACTTGGTTGTCTAAAGCTTGCAAGCTTGAAAATTTTCTTATTTAGCTTTTAGGATCTTAGTGAGCCAAATAAACAACAATGTCATTTAGGATGCTGCTGCCCTATGTTTTGCTCCATTTGAGATTGATATCCTTTGATCATTATGTGGTGTACATTGAGAACATGAAATTATTATTAGGACTGTCAGTTTGTTAGGGATGGCTGCCTGTAGCATGATATCAAGTCAGAAAAATAGACACGCACGCACGTTGTGGGCCATTTTAAAGGCATTAACTTGTTAGTCAGTCATATGATGATTTTTTTGTTTTGAAATTCCCATGAATTTAAGGGTGCAAACACAAGTAATTACTTGTAGTTGTTACTGTATGATGTTCGTTATGAATAGTTTATTTTTTAACTTTATTAAACAAATTATTAAATTGCAACAGATTTATTTGAAGATTGTTTCTGTTTTGTCAATTTTACGTACTTAGGCGTTTCTGTTCACCACCAAAAGTTACTGCAACGGTACAATGCTATATGCTTCAGTTATTTTTATGCTTGAAATAGAATACTAGTGCTATTGTTTGCTGTAATATTTCTTTATCATCTGATGAGAAGAATTTTCTTCATTTTTTAAGAGCTATGTCTTTTTTTCTGTAGTTTTTACATCAGAACCAGTAATACAGGTTTTTTCAATGCTGAAGGACAGATTGGAGCAGAAGAAGAGGAAAAGTCTTCTTATGGTTGATTATGGGTAATCAATTCTCCCAGGAATTCACTCTAAGCATTATATATATCGGTTTAGAGAATATAAACTAAACTTTTAATATGTCTTCTATTTGAGGTTGGATCATCTTTCCAGGGTGTGATCTTTTGTTTCACGACTGAAGTTATGGATGCAAAATTAAAATTAGTAGATTGGTCTTCTCTTTAGAGGAGAAGGGCCTATTTCTCCCCTCAACCCACACCCCCCCTCTCTCTCTCTCCCTCTCTCTCTCCCTCTCTCTCTCCCTCTCTCTCTCCCTCTTCTCTCTCTCTCTCTCCCTCTCCCTCTCTCTCCCCCTCTCTCTCTCCCTCTCTCTCTCTCTCTCTCTCTCTCTATATATATATATATAAGAAAGAGTTAAGAGCTAGTCAAATTAATGGTAGAAAATAATCTTGTCCCTCTATTTTTTTCCTTTTTTTTTTCTGAATAATCTGATCTTGTAGCTTTGAAATTAAAGTTAAGATCTTCACATTTATCTTGACCTTATCTTCTACCCTATGGGTGAAATTCATTTGATTTTATCATGCTGGTTTGCTGCCTAAAGGTTAGTACAAATGGTGCCAACACCAATTGTTATAGGATCACATATTTAATTTTATTTCACTGTATTTTCTTTTATTATTTGTATATTTATTTAATTTTTAGATAGCCATGAAATAAGGATAAGTTATCCGTTTTGTTGGGTGTTTTAGTCATGCATGAGTTTGATCTTGTTCTATAAAAGATCTTTTTGGGTTGTGATCAATGATGAGATTACATGAATTTCTTTGAATTATTCTCTCCCTCCCTCGCCTCTATTATAGCTATTCTATCTCATATTCATGATTATCACTCCCTGGTTATCCTTTCAGTAACTCCTCTCTCTTATTTTTTGATACAAACACAAATGTGACAGCTTACCAACCAACTTTATTTTGAGATCACACCTTTTTTGCGAATCCCAAAACCATTCAATGGTCATCTTTTTTATTGTCCCACAATATTAAGCTAAATTATTGTCTTTCATATGGCTGCATAAGGAATTTCACTTATATCTTTTTTAACCAAGAGAAGCTCAAGGAGTTTAACCCTTTCCATGTATTGCTTGATAATTTTCTGAATCTGGATTTTAATTTGATTTTTTTCCCACCTTCTCTTCTACATATACTTGAGACAAATCCTATCCTTTGTTCCAATGAATGGTATCATCTGATATCAGAGCCCGAACTTTTTTAGGGATTTGTCTTCCTTTGCTCTCAAACCAAAATTTCATACAACCTAATCTAATACTCCTAAAGTAATCCCTAACCTTAAACCACAATTCCTTCTCAGTCGAAATTTTAATTTGAAGAAGAAACTGTTGTACCTCCAAGGAGAAACGCTCAACAGGATGTTCAAGAGCTTACTACGGAGGATATGCAGTGTGAAATCCTTCAACTGCAACAAATGCTTGCTGCCTTTAAGAGGAGATAATCCGGAGAGGTCACGTATAGCCTCAACTGTGACTCATCGGATTGAGAGTAGGTAGTGAATCCCTTATACAACTAAGTCTCCAGTGATGAAGAATCAATACCCCGACTATTTGACATAGAGTATCAGAGAAGTCATGAGGTTGGAGTGAAAGTTTACTTGCTGAATTTTGATGGTTGCATGGATTCTGACGAGTTTATCAAGTCGAATAGGTCTTCAAGAACAAAGGGTTTTCCACTTGACATCAGGGTCAAACTAGCTGCTATTAAGTTAAGTAAGAATGTTTTCTTAGCTAAGAGAACTTCAAGCGTATTCAACTTTGACAATGGAAGAGTAAGTTCAATACTTGTCTAAGATGAAAAAGAATATGCAACACTAGTATCTTCTCTTGCATTATTGACATAACTTGTTCATAAAACTCCACATTCTGCACCTGAGATACTCTTCTATGGAGTACACAACTTATTTTTTTCAATTAATGCTGGAATATGAATTGATGGAACCAAATGAGCATAAAGTGGTGAGGCATTTTAGAGGATTAGTGCTTACTATCAGCAATGTGGCGCAGTTGCAGCTGTATTGGCCCCTATTCAATGTACATAATCTAGCTTTGAAGGTGAAGAAGCAAGAACATCATTAGGTGAGTGCCACACTTTACAAGTAGAGTTCAACACCAAGATCAGACAACAAGAGTACACCCAATGGAGAATCAAGCTGACCCCGTGTGCGGAGAAATTAATGCAGATTGGAGAAAAGTAGATCCACTACACTTCCAAATCTGTCCCAACTAGAAAGTGATTGAAATGTCATGATTTTGGGTATATTGCATCAGATTACCCAAATAGAAAAATGATGTCTTTCATTGAGTAAGGAGCAGTTGAAGAAATAGATACTGACATATAAGAGATTGAAAATCTCAGGGAGGAGTATCATTTTCTAGCTGATGATGGAGAGATGTTAGTGCTTCAAGTTGAGCCCATGTGAGGGACTACAACAGGACTACAATTGGTTCTCTTAGGTTGTAATGAGTTAAGAAGTCGATACTAAAAAAGGGACAACTCCTATTAAAAAGTTGTCGTATATCCTAACTAACAATTTACCTTCTGAGTGGTTGATGGTGGTTCATTATGCAATAGATTTTATCCTAGGGTGGGTTCCTCTAAATAAACGAGTTTATTGGATTCAACCAGCCAGGTACAAGGAGTGGGAGAAGCAAGTAACAAACTTAATGGCTTGAGGCTTGATTCATGAGAATACTTGTCAATTTGCAGTTCGAGCTCTGGCTGTGCCAAAGAATGATGGCTATTTATTCTATAAAACTAAACTATTGAATGATGTATGTGTTTCAGAGGTTCCTAAGCTGAACATGAACATAAATTTTGTGATGGGATTGCCTCAAATATGGTGCGGCGATAACTTTGTTTTCGCGTTGGGAGATTGATTTTAAAAGTCTTTAGAGAAGAAGGCAAACATTTCCTACCCAGAGATAATGACACGAGAGCTCTTCTGCAGATACCGTGTTCCGTAGTAGCGCGACAGCGAGATTCCGCAATTGCGGGATTTCACACATCGCGGAATCGATCCACAGGCACGGAAAGAGGAATTGGGATTGGATCCCTTCCAGGTAGAACATATTTCCGCAATACCGCAAGCTCGATCTAAGAGGCATTTCTGCAGTTTTCCCTAACAGTTGGAATTTTTCCATGTGCAACAATTGCCAGCCCCCTATAGGCCCATATTTAATATTTATTTATTTAGAACTAGATTTTTTTAGACGGAACAATCTATATTTTATTATTTCTTATTTTTTTCCATATTTTTTGCTTTTTTATTGTATTTTGGAGATTGCATATCCTATTTATGCTTTACGATGTACTGTATTCTCTTTTTTTTTGTAAGTGGATTGTGTGTATCTAGTTCAAAAATAGGTGGTGGAAAGTTCTCACCACCTGTACATTGTCGTTTTAGAGTTCTCTTTTTTGTTTTCAGATGACATAGCCGCCAAATGAAGTCTATCCTTAATACTGGAGTTAACCCAAACCTCAATCAAAACAGAAATATTTTTGTTGAAATTCAAATAGGTTACAATGACGACTCTCCAAAACAGGAAATAGATAACAACAAAAATAAAAAGACACCATAGGGCGAGGGCAAGGACGAGGATGGTGGATGCCGGCTGGACAACAGGTGAAAGGAGTTTGTGAGGGAAGGAGGATTGAAAGTAGGTTTTGGCATCAGAGGGAAAGCTGGTGAAAGGAGTTGCAGTGGCTGTCTGGTGGTAAGAGTGAGTAGGCGATAGTTCTGGGAGGATCGGAGCAGGTCCTGAGAAAACGTGGAAGGTGGTTGCCGCAGGAAGACATCAGCTGACTGGAGGAGGGTTGGGGGCTGCGAGTGGGAAAAAAGGAGGGAGGAAGGTAACAAGAAGGTGGAAGGTTTGGGGGCTGCAGTAAGCAACAAAACCGTTGTATTTGGGGTGAACTACAACAAGTACGGCGACGACAACAATGAGGGGGAGGTCGGGGATAATCACTACCTCGGAACGAGGTGCAGCCAGAGCACTATTCATCCTTGGATACGACCCTAGAAGGAAAAAATGGGACGCAACAGCTGTTCAAATAAAAATCTCAGCCAAAAACTAAACTCTAACACAAAAAATAACCTATTTATAATAAAAATAAAACTAGGAGGGGTCTCCCTTGGGCGGCAGTAGCTTCCAACCTTAATGAGGGCTAGCCGGTTGAGCCTCTTGTTGTACTGCTTTGCTGACCCGACACCCCCTTGCCTAACCATGGGCCGGTTCGGCTCTAGCAGCCCTACGTCAGAGCCTGTTCAAACGCCATTGATTTCTCTTATATTCTCGTTCCCTCGCTATTTCCCAATCACATTTCCTTTAAATCCACTTCCCAAACACCCTTCTAGGAGGGCCTAGAATGATGTCAATTTTTTGCGCTTGATCATTGTCTCTTGTTTCATCATCACTTTTGGGTAATACTCTCCAGATCTCCCTCTCCTTAGTGCCAATTTCATCGATTCATTTCCTTTTTTGGATGCTTCTAAGTTTGCAATGGTTTTTCTAATTTAGCATCATCTCTGCCTTATGTGCTGATAGCTCTTATGGTCTCGGAAGGCCCCTTTTAACTGCTCACAAGTTCTAATATTCGTTCTTCACAGACATTTTGGGTGGTTTATTGGACTAGGGATTGCAGCACTCAAATTCTGTTTATTTATTTTTTTTCATGAGAAGCGAGCTCCGTTGAATCATATATGACCATTGTTGTATCAAGGCTAACTTACACTTGTTTTAAGGATGAGATCTCTAAATTTGCTATTGCTATTTTCTTTGTCTTTTATTTGTCAAGTTTGTTGATGTTATGTGCTAAATCCTATCAGACTTGTAGGGCTGTGACTTTTGCTTGAAGATCGTTAATCCCTCGAAAATTAATTCAAATTTTGGCTCGGATAGAGATCAGATCGAAATAAACGAGCTGAGCTATGAGCCAAAATTTTCGATCAAATGAACTGATTTTGAGTCGACCTTA